TGCTCTTTTGTTCGTTGAGTAAGTATTCAGGCCGATCTTACGTGTTAGTTGCTTATGTGTTTCAATATGTATGAAAAGGGTACCTAGGCGAGGGTGTACTTTATCGCACTCGACCTAAACCCTAATTTGCGTATATATTTATACATGACATATGTATATGAATCATTTTGGAACTAAACCCCTTGAGCTTGTGGCTCGGGGTGACTTTTGAATAAATTTTGTGAAGTTAGTGAGTTTGGGGCCCGATCTCATGACCTAGATGGACTATTCGAACCGGTTAGGGCTTGGTCGAAGTTAGTCCAACCTGGTTTGAGGTCACCAAGTTTGTGAATCCGGTTCACCGATTATGTGGACCAAGTTTGTAACCCGAGCTTGTGAACCAAGCTCAATTTCGTTCGCTCGAGCAAGTTTGTGAGGTGCCTGGCCAGAGAGGGTGATAAGGTGTACGGTGGGAGTACAAGTGAAGTTCTACGGATCATTATTTGAGATCGATGGAGTGTCGGCAGGAGGTCACACATGGCAAACGATCTGGTTTTGGAGTCACCTGTATCCTTATTATGTGATGTTACTTTTCTGCTTTTGCTTTACTCTTACTATATAACTGTTGTTACGTGAAATTTACGCTTTTGCCCCTGTTTACTTACTAAGCATATAGCTTGCCCCATTCCTTTGTTTTCCTTAGCAGGGGCCGACGCGGGGACTTTTGTCACACACACTAGTATAGTTAGATTTGCATGTAATAGTTGGACAAGTAGGATGTTTGTTTTAGTTTTGGTGATTTGTATAAGGACCCTCCTTAGGGTCTACTCTTTGGTTTTGGTTGTAATTATAAGGATGTAATAGTATGAGCAGGTACTTTTGAAGAATGTAATTAGAACTTTTGGGGATTGTATATATTGTATATAGTGCTTTTTCGATTTATCTAGTTTTAGTACTTTAAGTTTTGAGTCCTGGCGCGAGTTAGGCAGGCGGCCCGCCGATACCCTTGGGTTCGCCCTTGGGAGAAGTGGGGTCGTCACACATAGGATATTTCGTTAACATATATTTCAAGTGTTATATTTTTAAAAATATAAAATTTGAAAAAGTAAATAAACATAAGGGTGGGTAGACAAAGTTAATTAAGATAAATGTAAAATAAAATAATGATTATTAGTATGTGTATATATATATCCTTATGCTATATAAGATTGAGTTTCGGTCAAAGAGTGGGTTGAATTTCAATGGAAATATGAAATGTTGTGTATTATTTTAAAAGCTTTAAGTACAAGTGAAGGAAGCATGTGTTTGGGTATATTTATCGAAATGGCCCCATTTTAATACATTTAAAGTTCTAATTGATGAGACATTTGGGTATTTGTGGAACGTGTAATTAGTGTGCAACCGTTTTTACATTTCATACAACCCACATATGCTTGTGTGTTAGTGTAATTACTGGAATGTCCCTCAGTTAACAACAGTGTGGCTTTTGAGATGTAGATAACCATTTGAGAAATGTTGCTTTGTCTGAAACGTGTTAATGGTTGCTGAACTCTCATCAATGTTAAAGCTTTGGTCGGAACCTATTTCTGTGTCATTTATATCTGAATTTAACAGCCATAAATGTGGGTCAGTTTATCCCCTTTCAGCTTCAGGGATTAAGTTTTCCCTTTTTGCCTTTGTCTAAAATGATTTGCCTCATTGTTTCCCCTTTCATCCGAGTTCAGCTCTGAAATTACCCATTTGTTTGTCATTTATTACGCCCCAATTAAAAAGCCAAAACGTTGGTATGTTAATGCCTAAGCGGTTGAGCATCAGTTTCTCCCTTTTCGCATTCTGGGATTGGGATATTTCTTACAAAATTTATACTAAGCATCACATAATGTTCTTCAGTCGCAGCTACTCCTGGTGGTTTAGCTTGAGGTTAGATTTGTCCCCTCAATTTTTTTAGTTCCTCCATTAATTTTGTCAGTGTGTGCTTAGTTCCTGCAAGTAGAGACTTTTATCATGTAGTTCAGCTGCAAGATAGAGATTTTTGTACAAATTCAGTTGCCCTCTATAATTTGACTGGTTTGCTTATAATGGTATAGGTTTGGAGCAATGGCAGGAGAGAGCTCTCAGTGGGGATTCTGGAATAAGGTTAGCTTTCTGTGGTGCTCTGCCTTTCTGCATTATGTACGAACTTCATTTTGATAGAGTTTGATTGTAAAGCTTTGTGAATTGCTTGATTATATCGTTTATTGCTGATTTGAGGGTGAACTGTTCACTTCACTCACTGCTAAATGAGTGCTTTATTTTATATTGTATAAGAACAAATTTTTATGCTGAATTACAATTCCGAAATTACTATAAAAGTTCACGACAACTGAACTACTATCAAGTATCAGAACCCCTGCTGCACTTGCTAATATCTTGTCGAATTTAATCTATAATGAGAAAAAGCAATATTGGACTTGGATGCACTAATCTGTCAAATGCAAGTTGATCAAAGCTACTACTAATACCTTTGGCTTACTGCCCTGATACACCTCCTATTGAGACCCATATTAGTGTCTTGGCTGCCATTGCTTTGTCCTTGTATCTTGGCCTCAAGATTCCCTTTTCTTGGCCTTTGCTTCAGTAGTATTATCCTTGTTACCAGGTTTATAGAATCCAATCAGAAAACGAATCACAAATATAACCGATATAAAGTTGATGAAATTACCTGTAATCTTTTAAATGCATGATGATTAAAGATAACACTAAGATACAAAACACAAAGAAGACATCACAAGATGCTAAAGACTTTACTAATATTATCAAATCCTAAAGTTCTCAACAACTAAATTGCATCTAGTATCAAATCCTCATCTTCACTAATATTATCCTCTTTACCAGATTTATACAATTCAGTTTATCTTGAGAGGATAACTATTCCTCCATTTCTAAATTATTTCTTCACCTTTAGACTGATTATTTACCCGAGCTAAAAGGAGATCACATGGCATCTGATAAATGTCAAGTTTATAAGATAGAGAATTGACAAGTTTAAACTTTGGTTTTTTAACCCAAGTTTAAATGAAAATAGGCGTTTGTTTCTGTTGAAAATGAAAACATTTTCTGGAAGTAGGAGGATTTTGGATTTTGTGATGTCACATATTCTGTATTAACTGATTCTTTAAGATGCGAGATAGGTTATATGATGCACTTTACTTTTTTTTTCTTTTCACATGCATAATTTCAAACTTGAATTGCCATATTTCATGACTATTTCTTCTCAAATTACCTCTCTAAACACCGGCACCAAACAACTGCGCGATGCGCGGGGTACTCTCTCCTAGTATATATATAGTAGATTAGATGAATACTAAATGTGTTAACGAGTGCCCTAATTGCACCGGTTTGAAAAATCCTTTGTAAAATATGAACTTTAAATTTAGAAAATATATAAATGTAAGAAAAAAGAATAAATATGTGTGAGTGCATTTAATAGTAAATTGAGTGCACTAATAATTATCCAGTTGGCATCCGTTAAATAATTTCACATTCTGACTTGTTCTTACTTTGAAAGTCTCTAAACACGAGCACTTTCCCTTATAACATATTTAGATAGGTTGGTAAATATAATTCCAATTTAAGGAGCTATCTAGACCAATTATATAAGTAACCAATTTCTTTCTCGTGCATTTTCACAAGTAATTTTCCATTTAATAGTACAATTAGTTATTACAACACAAATTTTGAAAATCTAGATGCTTATTTAATAGATAAAATATATTTTTCACTCAGTATTCAAAATAATTTGAGAAACTTTTCTTCATGCCTGGCTAATGGAATTGAATTAATGGCATTGAGTAATATGCTAAAATTAAGATATTAAGTAATGAAAAAAGAGTCAAAATTCAAAGCATTAAGAAAAAAAAAGTGTGATCAAACTCAATAATAGGACCAAGGAAAAAAGAGTGATAGGAGTAGTGATACAGAAGAAAATAAGGGAGAGAAAAAAAAAACATATGTAAGATAGAGAAACATCAAATAAAATACATCAATTTCCTAATGATCTTGTTATGACATAATGGGATTGAATTAATGAACAAATCAAATAATAGGATTAGAAAAAAAATGTGACTAATTGTAAATTTCTCTAATTACTAATAAAAGAAAGAATCTTGTGATTGAAGGAACTGAATTAGAGCCACGGGTTGATAGATTGATTGACTAATTGGTTAAATAAGAGGAAAGATATAATTAACACAAACCTATAAAAAATAAAATAAATCTTATATACATTGACAGTGTATACACTATCACCGTTTTATTCATGACATGTATGCAAAAGTTGAATTTCAGATTCAAAATTTGCATAGTTGTCATTCATTCAAAACTGATAGTGTATATACTGTCAGTGTAAGAAAAATAGGAAAAATTAATCCTAAAAAATAAAAGTGTAAATAATTGCTCAAAATTTAGAGAGCATAAAGGTATAGGAACAAATAATAGGGAAAATGGTAATAAATGATTCAAATGATAGGAAAAACGAAAAGTTGGTCCAAATTTTGATAGTGGTCTAATATGAATAGAGAATTAAAAAGAAAAGCTATGATTAATACATATCCGTATAAGGTAGGAAATTTATAATTGATTGAATTTTACTATAAATAATGAAGTGAAAAAGAATTATAAATTAATTGTTACGAAAAGAGAAAAATAATAAAAAACAAAAATTTTTTTGCCACACTTTGAAAAGATAGGACACCCACTTGACAAAACGTGAATCTTCGGCCACATGGCAAAAGGTCTAATGGTTCACATGTCGATATATAAATATAAATAAATAAATATATATATATACACACATATACGTGTATATATGTGTATATATAATATATATATATGTATATATATATCTATATATCTTGTGAGACAAAGAAAGCAAGCCAATTTTCATGCCTAGGCTCAAATTTTGCAATATTATGAAAACCATCCGACTGAAATAGCTTAACAATTACTGTACTGCTTACCGTGGGGTTTTGTGAGAGTACACCATAAACCGGAGGACTAAAAATGCAAAGTTGACGACCACCAATTTCCATCGATCAAACCGCCAAAAGCCCTATATTTACTCGCTAATTCTTTGAAGCATCAATTCCTTATTCATCCTCTGCAACCTCGCCTATTTCACACCTGCAATTTTTCAATTCAACCATGTCCAAAAAGAGGTGAAATCTTTAACTTGAATTTGTATTTAATTATCTTTAATTTTAATCGAAGCTATTTGATTTTGTTATCATTTTGATGGTTTTTTATTTTTTCCTTTCTTTTCCTTTAAAGGATCCTTGTGGACAACCTTGCATGCTTACATAAGCTTTACAAAATTTTGGGCTGAACTGAATCCAAAAGAGTCTTTTTATTTTTCTTCCTGTTATTGAATCTGGTGCTGATGATGATGATGCTTTTACCTTTTCTTCGGGTTTCTTTGCATTTTAGTTTGCTTTCTTGCTTTGGGAGTTATGTTATAATGAGGTGTTACGAATATATAGGATTTGATTCGATCCCACAAGGAAAAGGAAGAAAGATGAAATTTTGATGTTTGTTTTACTAAAACTTCACAGTTTCGGTAACCATCTGTTGCAAGTTGCAACTCTGGCCTCCTACTGGCTTTCTAGTGTAAGTTAGAATAAAGGGTTCAATGGCTTGGACTGGATTATTGAACTTGAGGTGAAAACAAGAAAGTGATGTGTTTCAATTGTTTAAACAATTATCTAATGATGGGAACAATGAAGAATGGCCAATGGAGATGAACTTTCTTTAGGATTAGTTGTCACTTTAGGCAAAAGAATGCAACTTTAGTTGGGTCTGATTCTGATACATTGAGTCACTTGTTGTTAAAAATTTATGTCATTCTGTTGGGCAAAGTATCTCAGCCAAAATGTTGGGTGCATCTGATGTGGGTTGTAGAAGTAAAATGAGCAATTATTTTATTGTAGTGCAGAGACGAAATGTTGGTTGTGTGTGATGTTCAGGAATAACTTTTTTGAGACCCTAGAGTGCAGCACCTGATAAGCAGTTCTAGTTCTCTATGATTCTGCTGTGAAGTTGATTCTGTTGTGAACATTTTTTTTCTTTGTTTGTTCTAATCTCTTAAACTGTTTGGGCATTTGTACCCTGTTTTTTATTTGTTTCCTCTTTCCCTGAGTTTGATAGTTCTAGCAGTGAACTGTGTTTTTCTGACATGTGTCAATGCCTCAAATTCCTCCAGGGTCCAATGCAAGTTCTTTGCTCATGGGGCATGTCTAAAAGGGGATCACTGTGAATTTTTGCATGACTGGAATGCCCCACAGAATAATGTAATATATTATGTAATTATTTTTGTTTTTGGAATGTTATAGCATAGTGTCTTATAATTTTATTGTTGCAGATATGTACTTTCTACCAAAAAGGAGCTTGTGCTTATGGGAGCCGGTGTAGATACGAACATGTGAAAGTTTCTCGCCCTTTATCATCAGCTTCATCTTCATCTTCATCTTCATCAGCAAATCCTTCTCAATACTTACAATCAAAATCCATTTTGGCTGCTCATCCTTCTGGAGCTCCTTCAGTTGTTATTGGTCATGCTTCAGGTGTTACTGCTGACAGTTCCTTGGCAAGCAGATCAATGTTGCCTACAACTAAACCAGCCGGGGGAGAAATGGTTAGGCATGAGGATGTATCAGAATTTAGTGACTTTGGAGAGACAAAGAGTCAAAATCCAGCTGATCAACCAATCTGTTCTTTTGCTGCTGCTGGCCATTGTCCTCGTGGTGAAATGTGCCCCCATATTCATGGAGACCTATGTCCAACTTGTGAGAAACATTGTTTACATCCCTTTAGGCCTCAGGAGAGGGAAGACCATGTTAAATTATGTGAGAGAAGGCAAAAGAACCTGGATGCATTAAAGCATAGTCAAGAAATAGAGTGTAGTGTCTGCCTTGAACGTGTACTATCGAAGCCCACAGCAGCTGAACGGAAGTTTGGAATACTTTCGGAGTGTGATCATCCATTCTGTATATCTTGTATTAGGAACTGGCGCAGTAGTTCTCCAGCATCTGGAATGGATGTGAATTCTGCACTTAGGGCCTGCCCTATATGCAGAAAGCTCTCTTACTTTGTCATCCCTAGTGTTATTTGGTATTCTTCCAAGGAAGAAAAGCAAGAGATCGTTGACAGCTATAAAGCAAAACTCAGGTACCACTAATTGGTAAAACAATTCTTGTTTACATGGAGCTAATCTTCCACTAATTGTGAATTTCTAGAGGAGTGTATCATTGAGCTTCTTAAATAAGTCTTTCTTGCCTATTTGGTAGATGAGATTAATATGGAACATTAAATAGCATATTCTTATCAATTTACTTGTGATTATCACATTAATAAAAATCAAGAAAACCATATCCTCCAATATGTCAGCTCTCTGAAGTAGATACTGGAGTTGGTTAGTAGGTATGCTGGAGTGCATGTGCAAGATCCTAAGTATTGGTACAAGTTACCTGAAAGTTTAAGGCTGTGCAAATATGTTTCCAAGCTGAGAAAATTGGTAGGATCTGTTGGAAGTTTAATTAATGGTTTCTTATATTACATACTTAAGTTAGTGGTTTTGAATTGTATCTCAGGAATATGATAACCCTTGTCTTGTTCTAATTTATGTCTAAGTGCAACTTTTGTTACATCTACAGTGTCTGTAGCTTTGTTCAGAGAGAGAGGTTATGCATCTATGGGATTATATATGCGCACAATTTTTCTAATACCATTATGTGCTCAAGTCTTGGCTAAATTTTTAAAAGTTCCCCAACCCATCCAAATACAGAGGAATATGCACTTCCTTTTTTGTTTATGTGCTACATGGTTAGTAAACATGTCGAATGCACGTACTTTGCCCTCTAGAAGTGTTCATGCTTCACATTAGTAAGTTTGGTAATGAGTTTAATTTTATTGTATTTCATTTTATTTCAGTGTATATAAGATGGTTCATCCTAGAAGTTGAGCTTTATTTGGTGTGGTGAATTGTGTATACATGGTGTTTTATTTTTGAAGTGCTTGCTTGTATTTGATGAGTCATTGTCAAAGAACTCCAAGTGTAACGGGTGTGCTTCTTTCCTCTCTTCCCCCTCCTTTTCTGATGAGTATTTTTTTTCCCTTTCTGTTATGCAGGTCTATTGACTGTAAGCACTTCGATTTTGGAAATGGAACTTGCCCATTCGGGACTAGTTGTTTCTACAAGGTAGTTGCTTGGAAAAGACTCCATACTTCTCTGATAAATGCATATGCTTTTGCTTACGTAATTGTCTTTATTAAAATATCCTTTTTTTGGTGAAAGTTTCCTTATGGTATTTGTGTATAGCATCAGTAAAGTTTGATAAAATTATTTTTGCTATCAATGTTGTTTACCATTGAATTTGCAAGAATGAAGCAGCCTTCTTTTGTTTTACTGGCTTTTTGGGGCCTAAAGGTGTGGATCAATTACAACTTGTTCAAGAGAATGCTAAATTCATCAAAAACCCTGCAAGCTTGGTGCTTAGGTGATTTTGGTGTTATATGGGTAGTGGATCAATTACAACTTGTTGAAGAGAATGCTAAATTCATCAAAAACCCGGCAAGCTTAGTGCTTAGGTCATTTTGGTGTTATGTGGGTAATGCATTTTGGCTGGATTAGCTTTTGGGGGTCCTTGACTAATAACTAGGATGACTTTCTTGAATAAGTTTATTTAGTCAAACATTAGGTGGCAAATGGTTGGGGAATTCTCGGAATCCTTAGCCACTGATCACCAAGCTTTCCAGCTTTTAAATCAATGGCACTTGAGTTGGAGCACAAGTGATCTTTTTTGGTTTTCGTGTCAATATCGTTAATCAAGTTTGCTTGATCTTAGCGGCCTGTTTTTGGTTGCTTAAATTTAGCTACTTAGAACATTTTTGCAAGCTAAAAACTGCTTTTAGGTGCTTGTTTGCTTTTGACTTTTGGTTTGAGCTTACATGAAGATGAAAAGAGTTGATTCTCAGAGTGGCCCTGAGATTTTTTTGATAATAAAAACTTTTGGCTTTTCAAAACATACCAATGAAAAGAAAAACATGATTTAATTATTTGAGCAACCTTTTCAAGTATCACTCTTATTCTAACAGTTAAAAAAGCTGAGATGAAAAAAGAACAGGCCATATATATACAATTTAACAGTGTTACAATGTTTTTTTTGAAATTTTCTCAAGTGTTTCAACACTTGATTTGCAACTTGAGTAATAGTGAAAGAATTTTATCTTAAGCTTTTGCGATTTCCATATTCACAAATAGAATGGAGTCTATGTTTGGCCATCTGTTAAATTATCTGATGACCCACCAGGCATGTCCATCTGCTTTATTTGGTAGAACATGAGTATTTCTCTGCCAGTTCCATTTAGGTAGAGACAGGTATAGGTATGTATAGTGTAACAAAATGTGGCTGTTAGTAGTTGTCTCTTGTTCTTTTTAATAGATGCCTATTTGCAACCTTTAAAATACAATATCAGTTCAAGTTAGAGCTGAACTTTTGTTTTTTAAGTTACAAATAACACACTGATCCCAATGTGTTACGTTTGCCATATAAGATCACATGATCATGTGGTAATATGATGCACATGCATTTAGTCATGCCCGGAAAGCTTTCTGGATGATTATTTCCTTTGTCAAATTTGAGCGGATTAAAAAAAATTATGAGAATGGCAACCTTATGTTAACAGTAATATAAGCTTGCCAATGTTCAGGTTCAAAATTGAGATAATTTACCTCAACAGTCAAGCTTGAAAAACAAACAATTCGATTCAAGCTTGTTTTTGATATAGTCTTTCTTAGTCATTTTTTTCTAGAGCTGGGAGATGATTTATACTTGGGATACGCTACTAAGAAATCAGTGATGGGATCTGTTTTTTCTGCTGAAATGGATATATATTGGTTACACTACAATGTTATGCAATTTATATTCATCTGTTACTTTTTTGCATCTTCAAACTTGATTGGGGCTTGAGATTGTTCAAGAATAAGAGTTTTTGAAACTTGATTAGATGCATACACAATTGATACAGCAGTACTTGTTACAGTTTGGTAGTTTTTCCCTATCTGTCTTATATAAGATATCTGTTTATTCTTTTGCAGTCAGAATAGGTAATCTTCATTTGGCTTTTGTTCATTTAAGTGGTAATGATAGAACTTAATAGCAGATGGCAAGTTAGTAATTTCCTGCAACTTGATGCATCTTTCCCTTTGACGCCCTTTTATCACAATCTGCCCAAAAGTTTTACAGTGGAATGGTAACTAAACGTCTACGTGCAATTAGCCTTATAAATATTGAAGAATCTATGTCCAGGAGTTCCCTAACCAAGGTGAAATTGCTGTAGCTGGATTTCGTCTGTTTTATATTTCTTATTGATCTTGTTCCAAGCCATCCGTATCTTCCTTTAAACTTTTAAAAGAGCTTGGTTGCAGATTTATTAGACCTAGCTGACATCATGATCTTATTTGGCTAGTTAAGCTTTTTTTTTTTTTGTACCTAGTCTAGTTTTTCTAGTTCCTCTTGATCTTCATTAATAAAAGCATGGAAAGCAATTAAGTGTTCATTGGCATATATGCCAAAAGTACAGTCTGCACACTTTATTTGTATCAATACTTGGATTTGGTGTTGTGAAATTGCTTTTTATCTAGCCTTTTGCATTTATTCCATTTAACAAGCAAGATTCTCAAACGTGTACACAGAGCATTTTCATAAGTCATAGCTGGGTGCCTTGTTTTTGGTTAAAAATAAGCTATTTCATCAGAGCGGGGGGAGCGGTGGATGGTCCTTGAAATTTAGTACAAACATATATTGGGGAGAACATGTGTTTTCCTTCTTTACTTGTTGATCATTGTAAGGATGGAAGAAACTTATGTGTTCTTCTTGTCAAGGTGGTATTTCTGAGGTTTACAGACACAACAAATTTAAAGTAGCTAGACTCAAGTATATTCTTAGAATTGTTCCTTAGAATTTATACGTTGATTTCCAAAGGCTTGGTTAGCTGGCTTAATGGATGCCATCTTTGTTTCTTCCAGCATACTGTCAAGCCAGGCTCATATCTATGGAATTCTACTCTGATGCCTGATCTATACCGCACAAGGTTTATGGATTCAGATGAAGAAGAATGTCTCTCTGAAACTGTGAATAAAAATGCTTCGCTGTATCTGTTTGAGCACTTTTACAGCACACATATTTCAGCCGGAGTAGAAGAGGATTTTAGCTCTGAAGATTCAGAAAATGAAATGGCTGAAGAACTGGCGTTTATGATGATGATGGGGCTTTAGATTCAAGTGACTGGTCAAGTGATTAGGATATCAACCAGTGAACTGATTAATTACTGATGGGTTTTATGTGTCCCTGGACATTTAGTTGCCCTAGTTATTCAGTTAGGCTCCATTGTTGGATTTTCCAACAGCTGACTTTTGTTTTTGGTGTAGTCTGGCTTTCCAGTACTCCTGATGACAAGGGTTGCACTTGGAAGGGCTTGAGCATCCTTTTTTTGTGTCTGTGGTGTAAATGGGCAAATCATTTATTGACAGCTATCTTGGAACTAATGTGTAGTTTTTGTCTTGGTGTAACTTTTGGTACTGGTCCCTTTTGTTTTTTCTTTTGGTTCTGCATTTGGGTTTTTAATTCTACTTTTCGTTCGAGTGTCTTGGTACTTTCTTTGGTTTATGGCTGCATTTCTTCTGTATTTTTGGCCTGTCTTTACCTTGTCATGTGCTTGTATTTGACTAATTGGTTGATGGATTGTCCCTTATTACAGCATGCATATCGTGATGGTCGTCTGGAGGAAGTAGTTCTACGCCATCTTGGGGCTGAAGATGGACAAACTGTGATTGCCAAAAATATTAGGTTCAAACTTTTGTTGTCAATTTATGTTTGCTTAATAAGTTAATCAAATTTTCTAAGCAGGTCTACCATGACCCTTTCTGCAGTTTTTAATGCTATATCCTTTTGATGAGTTCATTTTTTTTTTGCAGGCTCTCTGATTTCCTCAGTAACTTCCAAATAAGATGAATCATGCTTAGAGTTTTCAGTGTATGTTTAGCTTGTTTATGTGATTTGATCTCAAAATTCCTCGACTGCAAATTTGTTTGGGGTTCTTTCTGCAGCTTAGTTATTTAATTGCTTCCAGTTTCCTATTTCTGTAATGCAATTGGTAGTCAATTTTGCCATGTGATGCTTAAATTAGATGTGTTTGTGAAAATTTCCCAATGTATATCCATTCACACATCAGATATGCTAATTGATAACTGTCTAATAGGGAAGTTTTGACACTTGTATTGCCAATCTTAGTTGTTTTATCAGAGGGTTGTTGCAAGCTCAGTAGCTCCTTTTTCTTTATTCTGGGGACTTTTATTTTCTTTATTCTGTTCAAAAGATGTTCGAAGCTCAGTTTCCCCTAGTCATTTATTCTTCGGACTTTTTACCTGATGTTGGACTAACATGTTTGGTTCCAAATTGAAGTAAAAGTCATTGGCTTTTAGCTGCTCTACTATAGTAGCCTAGTTTTCCAGCAAGATTCTTATTTCTGCATTTGTTACATTTCTTAGTGGTAATAACATGCCCTGTCTATCTAACATAACGCCTTGCAGGGTATTTTGAACAAGTAGCAGATTTGTAAATGCGTATTGTTCTTTTTGGAGAGGGACCCTGTATTTCCCTTTGAAAGGTGAGTCACTTGAATCCTTCCAGAACAAGAAGACAAATTGTACTGGAAAATTTTTTCTCAAGAATTGGCTTCTCTGTGTTTTTCCTCTTCTATAAAATGTACAGTTTAATTAAACGAAAGCCATGAAATGTGCAATTGTGTGAACAATTTGTAATTCAGCATCATTCTAAGAGAATTGGGACTATTGCTGGATTCCTCTTATGATTCCTCTTGTCTTATGTAGAGCACATGGTTTCAGCAAATTTAGGTTTCATTGGCTTAGTTATCATCCTGGTAAAGCACTTCAAAATAGTGTGGTAGCACTCTTAATTTTTTTTTTTTTTTTACATTGATGCTATAGGTTTTAATGAAGAGTTTTCGCAATTTATGTTTTCTCTTGTTTCTGGGTTAAATTGAAGACAAATTGCTTTCTCTATGGTTGGTTTGAGGATTGAAATTCCAAATGCATCTTGTATTCAGCATATCTCGGCGTTTATATGAAGTAGATTGTTTTATGGTGCCTGCATTTTCTTGATTGGTTAATTTGTCACCCCTTCATTTTCAGGCGTACAACTTTGAGGTGGATATAGCTATCAGGTTCAGGGCAGGACAATTCGTAATTATGTGAGACTTGCATCTCATAGTTAAGATACCTGTGAGAAGCTGTTTTATTTTGGACACCTGAACAGAAGTTAAGCATTGCAATATGTTGGTTTTTACAGCATAAATGGTCAGTGAGCTTAGGAAGTTATATTTTTCGTTGATAAAAGGATGCCTTCTTACCTGCTTGTCCACCCTCATAAAAAAGTAACAGCTTTGCTCTGTATTCTTAGTCAACAGTGGCATTGAATGGTTGTTCCCTTGGTTGATTTGGTGCCTGCACTTGAGCTTAGCTGAGCGAACATGGGTGAATTTTCAGTAAATAAAATATACTGCAAGAAATTGTGGCTTATAATTAGGATGGTTATATTCTTTGTAGGGTTCCATACATATTTTTCCAAAATTATCTTTTGGAAATTTCGCTTATTGAGCCACTGTTCTTAGGACCTAGTTTTTACTGTTGACAGCATTTCCCAGGCCGCGGTATAAAATCCCACTGAGTTTGAACAATGTTGCATAAATTGATTAGAGATGATGATGCATATAAATTTTTACAGGTATACGTTTACCAGGAGAAATAAGAACACAAACTCAAACTTTTATTAATCCCACTAGTCTAAGATACACAAGAAATACTCAAATATGGTACAGTACAAAAAGGAAAAGCATCCCTCCCATGAAAAATCAATACACAGCTCCCCAACTCTACATGTACATGTATGTGACAATGGAGGAATGCTTATTAGAAAGAAATCTCAAGAATCTCATCTGGCTCTTGATGAGAGCCAGTAGAGACAGCATCAATGAACAGCACAAAATTGCTCCTGAAGATGCCAGGGAGAATGCTCCTGAGGCAGGTTCAGGGGCTGGTGCAGGAGCAAATTCTTGAGCCATCATGGTGGAGCTAAGCATTGCAAGAACAAGAAGCATAGCCGATGCCTTCATTGATGATGCACCGCACATCTGAGCCATCAGGGAAGAATTGAGACAGGGCATCAAGCAAAATGATTGTGTTTTGTGATTAGAGATAATGATTGCTATTGAGGGGTGTATTTATAGTAGTTGTAAGGGGTGTGGTAAAAGCGTGTGGGACATAATAGAAAACGTGGGCAGCCGGACTGAGGGACAGTTAGACAATTGCCACGTTTACTTTGAGTCCAACAAGTAATTTGACAAGAGGAGTAAATTAATTGGGAAGATACGGTAGAAGAGTTTGGAAGCTGTGAGGGTCACGTATCTTTGGAAGTAGGCCAGCTGTAGAGCCATATGGCACGGGTAGGTTTAATTTAACTATTATAAACAATTATCTTACTAAAATCTGAATTTTGGCCTCTCTTAACGTGGAAGTAAGTAAGTTTAATTGGGTAGGCAATGCCTGAGTTAGATGAGGTCAGTATAGATTTTTTTTTTTTTGGGTTCCTTTTAATCCACCAACCCTTCCCATGCCCTTTACTACATCTAATTACGGGGCATGACAATCAAATCTGAATCTGGCAGTGAAGATAATTCTAAGAACCCTTCTTTGGCCATTGAGCACCCCAATGGTTAGCATAGATTTCTGTAGCTATGTTTTGGAATAATTTCAGTGTTTTCCAACTTTTTTTTTTATATTTCTCTATCTTACATCTCTCAATCATTAGATTTCAAAAAGTGTTACAGTATTATTTTTCTAAAATTTTTTCTAAATTAAAAGATGCAATCCAAATCGTTCCAATTAATTATTAGATTATAAGCTCATTCATCATTAAGACATGCTTTTGCGTTTTTGGCTTCAAAGAAACCAAGGCGCTGCAACTAAAACACTTTAATTGGTTCACAAGTTCACACATGCCTCCTAGATGAGAGACTTGTTTTTGTAATCCCATCCTCTTTTGGACAATTAGCCCTTGGTGTTTGATGACAAACACCTTAATTATCCCTTAGCACTTTGTTCATTAATTTGAGATGCCTATGTTCACAAAAATGTGCTAATTTACTAATTAATCATATTGATTATCCTTTAGCCAAATACAGATAAAAAAAAAAAAAATTATCCCGGTAACTAATTAAAAGGGAAGTATGATATTACAACAGCATTGTTAATCATGCACGAGGCACAACTTGTTTATTTTTTATTTTTTGGTCCAAAGAAAGCTCCAAAACCTTGCAAGGAGAAAGAGAAAAAGAGAAGGCTTGAAAGTCGAATCAGGAATCTCACGGTCACCTGATCAATTTCCTTATCGGCAAAACTTTTTTCATTCTTTATTTATTAATAAGGTTGCGATTATACATGTTGAATCATAAATAAATTGAGTGGTAACAAAAAGTTATAGGAGCAAATACAGCATCGTCGTTACAATTCAGTTCCCTTAAAGCAAGAAGAGCTAGCATACATTTGCAGCATTTGGGCTTCCACTTTTCTGCAAGAAATTGCTGAACCATCTTGCAGAGGCCTTGCATGATCTTTTCAGTGACTTATTCCCGTAATTTACACGTATAAGTCCAAAATTGAGAAAATAACCATCGAGCCACTCGAAATTATCCATTAATGACCATACGAAGTAGCCTTTCACCTTTACCTTTTTATCACTGGACAAAACAGTACAGGAGATTATCAAGCTATAATCTTTTGAAGAGGCAATGTATGAAAAAAAAATTAAGGTTTGTATCAGTTTTTAGTTCCGCATTAGTAGAAAGAAATGGTTATAGAAATCACCATTAGAGAGAGGAGTCATATTTGATATAGGTTGAGGTGAATAATTGAACATGGAAACATACAACTTTGGTTGTCCTTGTTTGGAGAATGGTTTAACTTTGGTCCTCCATGTTTTAGGAGAAATAGATTTAGTTCTTTAATAATCAATTTAGACCTGTGAAGAAACATTTACAATTTTACTTTAAATTCATGACTGAAAATGTATTATTCCTCATTGAATCAGTGTATTTAGTTGGATTTGTAGTAAAAATCCAAAAGGTGTGTAATGATACCCCTTTGATCTAGAGGTGGATTTCTTTCCTTCGAGTTGAGTTCTCTCCAAGTATGAATTTTTTTTTTTTTTGAAAATGTAAGATTTACAGTAAAATTCTAAAAGGCGTTCAATGGTATTCTTTTTTTTTTTTTTTTAAATCTAGAGGTGGATTCCTTTACTTCGAGTTGAGTACTGTTTGAGTACTCTTTTTTTTTTTTTTTTTTACGTTTTAAATTCAGGATCTCCTACTTATAATCCTTCTCACCGTATCACCCAGTCCAACCCTCACATCTTTTCAAGTAGAGGTTAAAATAGAATAGTGTAAATGTTGCCGATTGACAAAATAAAAAAGGTTGTATTTAGTTGCTTAGAATTTGAACATAGCAATCAGTTATTGTGATATGATTTTATTAAATGGCTGTAAATTATTAGTTTGGATTCCAAATAGACTACCAAATAAAAGCTAACAATATCAGTTCTCGTAGTACTTACTTGATGGCACGTCGAAGTTCCGTTAGATGCTTTTGATGGTAATTTACTCTCTGCAAATCAAATGGTTTATCCCATTCGTTGTGTCCACAAACTCCTACAAATTGTAATAGGTTATTAAATAAATAAAAGAACGTTGCTCCAACCTGAAAATGAAAAAATAAAAATAAAATCTCTTACCATTTTCTGTCACATAGATTAGTGGATTATTGTATTTCTCTTTTATATGGACTAAAATTTTATAGAAGCCTTTTGGATAAATATAAAGCCAGCCTGCTCCACTCTGCAAAATCGTTCGACACAGTTCAATTTCAGAATTAGTAATGTCTAATAGATACTCTCACAAAAAAAAAAAAAGTTTTTTTTCTTCTTTTACTTACCACATGCTTAATTTGTTAGTACAGTGGGTAAAAATCGTTTTGTCCCAATTGAGGTTTGGAAAATTTTCTTTAGACCCATTACGAAATTATTTTTGTAGATTTTTTTTTTAGTTATTCCTATAAAATGAGTATCTTACCTACATCTTTCTAATCCTAAATCCACTCTTCGCTTACTTCACCAAATAACAAAAATGTAAAGAAACAAATTAAAAGGAAGATTCTGACTAGACCTTATGTCAATTAATTTTATAAAATAAACTTCTTCAATACAATATAATAGCATTTTTATGGTTTAGAAAAAATCTTAGCCTGTTGAGTGTAACAACAACTAAGATTGAAAAACATTCAAAAAAAAAAAAGAAGAAGAAGAAAGGATCGAATTCATCACAGCACTGAAACTCTTAACAACATAATATCTCTTACTAATGCCACAAAAAAAAAATTATGGACTTTCCTCCAAATAAAAAGTAAAAAATCAAATGGAAGTACATTAAGATAAATGATTAATTTTCTATACACTGATAGTGTATACATTTTCATCATTAAATGCATGACACATAATCCGAATTTGAATTTGAAACTCAAATATTATATATGTGTCATATATCCAATCGTGATAGTGTATACACCGTTAACATATATATGATTTACTCTAAGATAAATATAAGCATATTAGCAAAGAAGAATTTAAACATTGGAAAGGCAAAAACTCTAATGCAATAGAATTGCTTTTGCAAAAACCTCATGTTAACGAGATCTCCTTTTGGCTGCAAATAGAAAGTCACAAGTCACAACATTGTATTTTTACAATGGTATTGTCAAAAATGAAAAGGGAAAACGAAAAAGAATAACATATTGAAAAAAAAAAATCAATTAAAGCAAATGTGTTAAGGAGAAGTTAATTATACAAGTAGAATCATAGATGTAGAAATATAAAAAGGCAGGCCTCTCTGCGTCGAAAGAAATGGGGACAGAAATAAAAACCCCCAAGGCCGCTTTCTTGCCTATAGCCTATAGAAAAAAAGGACTTTTCTAAGCAAATGCCTTCTGTAGCCAGCTTAGCTTAACATTACTATAACCTTTATGTCCATCAACATGAATGAAATTCTAAATAACTAATTGATTGTAAGTGATCATACCTGTAGCCCGATTGGTTTTCCATCTTTGGTATCTGTTGAAAATATTTGCAAATTGCAACTTTGTTGGAATCGTATATAGAAGAGAGATGCAAACTATATCATAGATGATTGGTCTAACTTACAAGTTAGAGAAACACACGAGTCTGTCAAATAGTTTTTCTGACTTTTATCACATGGAATATCCTGTGAGTATTGAGCTGTGTAGTAGTTGAGTCCAATGAAATCATAGGATCCTTTCACCATCGCAGCTTCTTGAGGTTTGAAAGTTGGAAGACGTTCCTTATCAACATATTTAACCATTTCTGTAGGGTAAGCACCTCTAAATAAAGGGTCCATATACCTGCAAGAAATCACTTAAAAAGTGTTAGAAAACATGCAACTCAAAATTATGTGGAAAATATGTGTTAA